GCACCCTGCTCACTGAGCTGCCGACTGTGTTTTTTTAGAGCAGATGTGGTTTGTGCAGCAGCTACAGGCACAGGCCATGTAGTGTTCATGAATTTGTATTTATTTGTGTGTGTCTGTGTATTTATGTATTTTACAGGGTGCTAAAGGAGATCCGGGCCTTCCTGGTCTTCCAGGGCCTGCTGGCTTCATCGGGCAGAAAGGCGACAGGGTAGGATTTCAAAAGCAGAAACTACCGATCGATTCAAAATACAAAAGAGCCAATCAAATCATTTGTTAAAAGTTGTCTATGTTCAGAATAACTTGCTACCATAACACTATTTGCATTCTATTTATGCATACTATTCTGCATAAAGTGTGAAAACAGTATGCATTCATAGAAATACATTTAAATGACCTCCCAAAATGGCCAAATGTGTAGTATATAGGAAACGTACTTGGTATTGCATCCCATAATGCAATTTGGCCTACAGTTTCCTGTGTGATAAATGAATGTCTTTAGTGCTAAAGGCATTTTTAGACAAAATAAAATTTAAAACGCTAACTTCCTGTATTTTAATACAGGGTGTGCAATAATGTGATTAAATATCATGTGAATTAAATGTTTCACTTACTGAATTAAATATGTAAAGTGGTGAGGTCATGTGACTTAGGAATTTCTGAATTTGACAAATGTGGATTATAAGCATTATTCTCTTTATTGCAGATCTTTAAAACTAGATTCTCTGTGGACCAATATTTTTTTCCAGAAACAAGTTGCCAATATTAAAAATTAAAAATGTATTCAAAATATGCTATATTTTACATAGCCATTTTTTAGGCAGTTATCAAATGGTTATAGTTAAGATTAAAAGCACAATCTTATTTTATCATTCTCCAGGGCGCTGTTGGTCTAACTGGTCCAAAAGGAGAGCAAGTAAGCCAATACATACATATACAGTATATATATATGTGTGTGTGTGTGTACCTGTTTTTCTATTCTGGTGGGGACTTAAACCTGAATACACACAGACTCATGGGGACTCGTGTCACGGTGGGGACCTAAATTGAGGTCCCCACGGGTAAACAAGCTAATAAATCACACAGAATGAAGTTTTTTTGAAAATCTAAAAATGCAGAAAGTTTCCTGTGAGGGGTAGGGTTGGTGTAGGGCAATAGAAAATACGGTCTGTACAGTAGAAAAACCATTACGCCTATGGAGAGTCCCCACAAGGGTAGCTGACCAGACATGTGTGTGTGTGTGTGTGTGTGTCATTTTAGTTTTACATTATATAACATCAATTAAATCTATATTATAATGCATCTAATGCATGTTTGTTTAGGGACCACCTGGTGAAGAGGGAACACCTGGAGACAAAGGAGATGTTGTAAGTACAGATATATAACAGCACAGATATTTGAATGTCTTTGGATGTATTGGTTATGTATTCAGTCATGACCCCCTTGCTGATCCTAAACTCCATGTCCATTTATTTTCCCAGGGTGATGAGGGAGAGCCAGGCGAGAAAGGATCGGTGAGTTTGCTTTGAGAAGTGATGCTATTGTCTGTTACTGAAATAAATGTTAACCGAAATAAAAAAATAAAAATAAAAATGATAAAAACTAGACATGTATAGACATATAAACTAATAAAATGACAAAAAACAACAACAAAAATACTGAAATTAAAAGGAAAATATAAAAATAAAAACTCTAATAGCATGTCAATGATATAAAGTGGTGGCCAAAATTATTAGAACAATAGTATTTAATCCATAAACACTGTATTAATCCATAAAATGTCAACAAGTGCACAAAATTCAATGTTGGCCTCCTTAAAAATGTGTAGCATTTGTTGTGTTCAGACAGGAAAACCAGGAGAGGCAGGAAATAAAGGTCCAGAGGGTGGGCGTGGCCAACCTGGACCCGAGGGCACAGCTGGAGAGCCTGGCCCAAGAGGCATGCAAGGAGACAGTGGGGTACCTGGACTGCCTGGGGCACAGGGACGACCAGTACGCCTGCTTTAATCATCTCATTACTGCCGCCTTAAATATGTCACACTTTTATCATAGAGACTTTGATTTCTGTGGAACTGGATTTCACTGAACTAAACCTGTACTAAATGAGGAATTTTACCTCAGTGCGATTTGTTCCACCACAGTCTTTTCTACCTGCATTAAATGAGGAAATATTTTCCTTCAGGGCCGAGCACCCATAGATGAGCACATCAAGCAGGTCTGCATGAGGGTTTTGCACGGTCAGTATTTTGATATCCTAACAGATATTTACAAATGTAAGCTCGACTCATTGTTAAATTCGAATGGGTTTTGTTTTTTGAATGGATTTGCCATTTCTGGTTTCCTCACAGGACAGCTCGCCCAGTTGGCAGCCAGTCTGACGAGGCCCGAGTCGGGCATCTCTGGGTTGCCAGGTCCTCCTGGTCCCCCCGGCCCTCCAGGGCCTGGTGGAGACAATGGCTTCCCTGGGCATCCTGGAAGCAGAGGACTGCCGGGTCTCAAAGGGCCCCTGGGGCTCATAGGGAGGAAAGGGCCCAAAGGTACGAAGCCACACATTTTTTGCGAAGGTGAAAGATCTCCCCATACAGATTTCGCAACAGTGCCACTTTTAGTTGGTCAAGTGGATTTGCTGTGTTTACCAACAGAAAAGTGACTGCTTTGAAAATGAGCTATGTTTCACGTGGCGCTACTCGTCAAGATGGAAAATAGACCAAAATTTTGCTAATATGACCCCACCTTAAGACTAATAATGAGTACAATTTTTCTTTTGCTTTCCATTGCAGGCCGACGTTAAAATTAAACATGAAATGGATCATTCCTATAAACTGTACAGGCTCAACAATCTGCAAAATTTGACCACGACACGGGCTGAATGGGAAAAAATGACCCTTTAATAAATGCATAAACAATAGTACAAATGTGATTTACTAGCATAAAACATGGAACAAACACTGGGCTAAATATTGTATTTGTATTAGTCATATTACTAAGTGACCAATGTGCCACAATACTGTGGAATATGATTGGCCATGTATCATTTGACGTCGACAACATATAAGTGTGTCAAGTCCATTTACACTTCAAAAAATGATCTACTTACTATTTTTGTCGTTTCCAGTAAAAACATCTAAGCAAAATATCAAAGCAAAATGAAAAAAAAAATATATATATCTGCCAATGGGATAAGAAAAACAAACCTGATTCAAAGGGAAAATAAGATAATTTTTCTTACCCTGCTGGCAGATTATTTTATTTAAATTTTATTTTCAGGAAATAAAAAACCTGTTAATTTTGACAGAAAAAAAATCTTGTCATTCTGCATTTCAAGTAAATGTATCTTGATTTAAGAACGTTGAGATGTTTATACTTATAACGAAAATCATTTTTTGCAGTGTATCATAACTGATATATGGTTAACTGCATTTTATTTTCGGCATTTAGCATTGTTTTATACCCTATTATTTTATTCCCTATTCCCAGAACAACATTTTAGGACATGAAGCACCATCTACATCCCATATTACAACCTTTGTGTTCTCCTTCATTTAGGTGACCAAGGTGACAGGGGAGATAGAGGGCCCACAGTGGAGGGGTCTAAAGGAATACCTGGACCACCAGGGCTCCCAGGTAAGAGCAAGGCCTGCATCTTATCTAATATCCATCACTGTGTGTTAAATGATCTTTAAATCTCTGAATATCATGCTCCTGACTGCTGGTCTGTTTTTCCACCGGCTCTCAGGTGACCCTGGGAAACTAGCATATGGCAGTAACGGGCGTGACGGTCTGAGAGGACCAGCAGGTGCTCCTGGAATGCCAGGTGTGCCCGGGCCACCAGGTCCCCCCGGCCCTAACGGATACTGCGAGTCATCTCAGTGCGTGCTTCAAGCAGTTGCGAGTCCGATATCTGTCAAAGAGTCCAGCGTGAAGGGACCAGATGGTCTATGAGCTGATAGCCATCAGCGAGCCACACATCAGAGCCCAGTGTCTCTGGACAGGGAAACTTGAGAGACTAACAGAGTGACTCCCTCGACGAGGAGATTTCTGCTTCAGTGGTATATGCAGGTGTGACTGTACTTATCAAACACCTGTGTGAAGTTGGATCAATTCATATTAAGGTTACAAGTTTCATTCAGTCCCCTTTTACTAAGCGAATTATTTTTTTGGACATACTTTTGTATAGTTCCAATAATTCTATTAAGATTCAAAGTAAACCTAAATTGCCCCATAAATAATGAAATTATAGCTTGCAAAAAATATATGCTCTAGTTCAATCTCATTTGAATATACTTTGTATTTTTTAGGTCCTGGATGCATACAAAATCATGTCGCCACGACCTGGTCACTTTACACATTAAAGGCTATTAAAAGAGCTTTAAATCAGAGGGGGTCCTAAACATTGTAAATTTGTCAATATTGCATTGCTAAAAAATGATTTGCAAGCATCTTATTAAATGGTTTTTGGGTTGTTTTAACCTTAGAGACTTTCTCCAATTTCGTGAAAATTTTTGTGGTTCTTTGCAGTGAGGGAGAGGTCTTGATGTGGAAGTTTCTATATTTTTTATTTATTGTAGACAAGATTGATGTGACACCAACGGTTGTGAAAAGGGAGGAAAATAAAAGAATTTTGATAAAGTGCTGCATGTTTTTAATTTAAAAGTTAAAATCAAGCACAGACGAGGTAAAATGCTCCTTCAGTGTATCTTTATTGTACTCTCAAATGGGCAGACTTGTTTCTTGCTATACTAAAACACATATCCAATTATATAAATAGGTGATTTAACAGTACACAATCAAATACCGTACGTAAATCAAGTATTGAAATATTAAGTTACGCACATCAAATTAAAAAGCCATAAAAATACTGCAGACATTGAGGTCCAGTTTTAAGCTAAAGCACAAACATCACACTATTGACATGGCAGTAATAGGTAAACAAAGTTTGGATAAACAACAAAAAGTAGTACCCCACCCTTCAATATATTTATATAAACGGATGATATTTTCCTCATCTCTCTTCCTGATTTTTTTTTTGCAAAAGACATCACTGAGAAACCTCTCCAAATGCCACCGAGAACTCCACCAGATGGTGTCTTTCTGTTGTAATAAGGCATTTATTTTAGATTTTTTCAGAGGCAGGCATTTATTACAGATAGACTGAAATCATCAACAACAACAAAAAATGCATGAAATTCTTTTTTAATCAAACCCATTTAGGCTATAAAGCATACTACGTGTTTGGCAGAGTTGGGATTTGACCATGTTTCACCAACATAAACTTCATCGCAAAACACTTAAGCTCATGTTCAAACAAGCACTTTACCTTGCTTCGCCACAGGAAATACATAAAAACAAAGAGAAGGGCGGGGGACACTTGTAACGAAATAAGCGTAATATTTGTAACGGCATTTTCACAGTTAGAACAAGAGAACAAACTACCTATGCTAGATACAAATTCCCATTACACATTTGAGAAAGGCTGATATGCAAGCTTTTACTGAATGCAACAGTTGTTGCGGTGGCCGTTGGAATCCTTGAACCGAAGACGCATTTTAGGACGATATTTTTCCAGATAGAAGAGCTGCTTGCTGTTGAATGCTCCACGGCGCTTTCTGGGGGGGGAAACGAAATTAAATAAACCTTTGTCTTTAAGAATGAAGATTGTATTATTTTCAAAAATATGAAGTTAACTTACTGTCGAATGAACTGAACAGCATCCTCATATTTCATGCCACACTCAATCAGGGCCAGAGCAACCAGCACTGGGGCTCTGTGTGAAAAAAACAACAACTAAGATTTCCATGCAAAGCTCAAAACGGGTTTTATTCCATGTTTACACATTATGATACATCCAATGATCTTGAATCCCAATAAAATTACCTTCCAAGGCCTGCAACACAATGTACGGCAATACAGCAGCCTGGCTCCTCCCTAAACTTCATCCGAAGAAGATTCAGCCAATCATCAACGATCTGGTTAGAGGGAGGAGCTCCATCATCAAAGGGCCAATCCTGCATTAAAAGATAAGGCCTGAGATAAGAATGGACATTTCTATTCACTGTCATGTAGGTGAACTGGTTCATGTGGACTTACCAGAACCTGAATACCTTCTTTAACAACCAGGTTTGCATCATATGTGGCCTCACACACTCGAACTACTGTCGTCACCCCATATTTCTTCAGTTCCTAATGGAATATCATGTAAGTGATGTTTTGCAGTTACTGTAATTATGAGGGTTTTATAATCGTCGATCCAAAACAACTCTTTTAGTGTGTTTAAACCAACACTCACCTCAATGAATTTGTGAAGCGTGGCATTAGTGGGGTTGTGGGTAATGAGGAATCTCATGTTTTTGTAAGTGATCTCCACTGGGGCAGGTCTATTCATACGTGCCATTTTTGAGTTTTCAAAACAGCTTGAAAAACTTTCTCTAATAACAAAAGAAATGCTGGCGGATACGATTAGGAGAAAAGAGGTGTGACCCAGAGGTGGGCGGGATTAATAGCAAAAAAAAAGGAAAAAGCCTAGAAAACAAGGCTGGTCCTCTGGTGAGAGTGAAGACGTAGGGCCGACGAGGGCAGTGAACTTCAAGAGATTTTTTTTACCCCATCCAGAACCGCCGACCGCTGTGGACGCCCACTCTCCAAGCCCGATCCCGCCAACGTTAAAACTGTAACACAAGTCTCTGTTCTGATGAGGTAGCGAGGCCGGCCGTTCACTTCTCTGCATAAACGCCGTGCTGAGCCTGGCAGTAGTCGCCACTGTCCTTCAGAAACTCCATAAATGTGTGACCCAAAACACCACAGAACTGCTGCAAGGACACAAGAACAGAAGCACACGCGGTCAGGGCACAGGACTTCATTTATCTCTCTCGTCCTGATTTAAAGCAGCCATTTTTCTGCTTGTCCAGCTGGGCCAGTAGTTCATTTCTATCTGTCCTGGCCTATATTAATATATTATAAAAAGGGTTTTTTCTATTTACATTTATTATTATATTTCATTATATATTATTTTATAATATTACTTTATTTTTTGTATTATATTTATTTTAAATGTATTATAAGCAGTCTACATTTTCACACAAGAATTTTTACTTGTATAAAAAAAAGTAGTTTCTGAAAATTCCTAATTTTTAAGCTTATAATTTTATATACTTGTAACAATTTTTTTTCAAACATTAAACATGAAAAAGAAACTAATTCATGGCAAAACATCACTGATTAGTTACTGACCATGTCACTGACGCTACTATACATATTATTTTAGTCCAATATTTAGTAGTCTACGTTTTCACACATACTATTAACTAGGGCTGCACGATAAATCGCATGCGATATTTAACGCGTATCTTGTCAGAAAGCCGGTTCTGTAATCAGCGGTAATTCTCCATCACGTGCGTGCTTTCACATTGAGCAGCATTTACAACACAGAGCCGTTGTTCACCGACGAGCTGCGCAAAACCACGTTCATATTCGCGCGATTTTTTGCGCAGCTCGTCAGTGATAACCGATAATTCTTTATATTTGAAAGCCGATAACCAATATGTTGGCCGATAAACCTTTATAATAGTTTTGAGAGCCAGATTACAAAAAAAGTCTCATCATTACAAGCCACATCCCAAACACTTCAACATAAGCAGCCTAGTTTGAGCAGTGTACGCTTTAATTTTACTCTCTCCCATTACCAAATTTCGTCATAAAAAAGCCTTACAAAAAAAAAAAAGAATGCATACATAATGCAAATAAGTCACTGGACATCATTACATGTGTAAAGAATCAAAATGCATGTGCCATGGATCAATAAAACGGAATAGCCTCTGTACGGACAATAATTAAATGATTTTAATTACTAAACCATATTGTTGATCAAATAAAAGTGGTGGTTATTATTAATAATGCATCAATGATTTTGAAAAAGTAACAAATTAATACCACTGTTTTAAATAGCAGCATTGCTGTTTGAGCTGCGTGCGCTGTAGCTGAAGAGCTGAATGAACACCGGTAAACTCAAGCGCTTGTTATAGCAGGTTAATTAGGCTATATGAGAATCAGATATTTATAGAACATAAACAAATTACAATTTATATACAAAAAGACGTAAATGCACAAGTTATCTTGAACTAAGTTATGCGCTAGTCAGATGTGTAACTCGTGGACGCACTCTTGCGTAGCTTTTGATAACTTTTGTAGCTTGAATAAAGATTAATATGTATAGTTTATGCATATATAATATAGTTTATGTGAAGATTGTTTTAAAATCACTTAAATGTTTAAGAAAGCCTATTAAATGTTAAAGCCTATTAAATGTTAAAAAATAATGGCTTTCAGTTATACTGTAATGTTGAATGGCTATAATTAATAGGGAAAATTGAGGGAAAATGCACCAGCAGGACAAATTAAAAACATTGTAAATATGTTTAGTCATTGTAGTAGTAATAACAGCCTGTTTTTGCAAAAAGAGTTTCATGGCCGGTAAAAAAAAACTTTTTGGCCGGTAAATTTTATCATGTCACCGGCCATTGGCAGGTGTGGCAAAAAGTTAGTTTTAGGCACTGTATATATAACTACAAAAACAAAAAATCACAGACATGGAAAATATTAGGGGTGGGAAATCACCAGAGGCCTCACGATACGATATTATCACGATACTTGTGTCACGATACAATATTATTGCAATTTTAAATATATTGCGATATTCTGCGATATATTGCAATTTATTACCTTACATGCGCGCTGAACACTGCGGGGCGGACATATATATTATTATATGTAGCCTATATTTTCGGTGCATCCCCTCCTTGTTTACAAATCCGAAGTAAGTCCATACATCCGATTTAAATGCGGACGGGGCTTTCCTGATAACTTTCCGCCCTCTTTATTTTTCTAACTTACTGCATGCTGAAGGTGACCTCACCAGAAAAAACTCAACACCACCATCTAGTGGAGTGTAAAGAAATTGATTGTATTATTCTACCAAATAGTATAATAAAAGATCGATACTTGGCGTCCGTGTATCGATACAGTATTGCCGCGGAAAATATCGCGATACTATGCTGTATCGATCCCACCCCTAGAAAATATCACTGATTATTATTATTTACATTTTTCAATCTATTCTTACTAACACTATAAAAACTCACAAACTCATAAAAAAAATCACAATTCTGCAGTTTTGGCCAAACCTCATCTATTCCAGCAGCCACTACATCATTTAACTTGACAAGCAGAATTCACAAACATATGTCAAACAAATATTTACATTGACAAAGAATGAACATCTATGTGTTGAATCATGTCATCAAGTGCATGAACAAGATTTTATATCAATCAAATTAAAATATATTTTTCTTGAGAAGGTTCATCATTTTCCCCCTAAAAACATGTAATAATTAAAAACCCTTTACACAATAGTTTTTTTTTTTTTATTAATTTTTTTTCATCAGACAATCTGATATGGATAGATTATGGATAGATGATGACGCTCTGTACCGACCAATCAGCAGCCAGTATCAGTGTTATAATCTCAAATTCACACACTCATAAATACATACATCCCTATAGGCTAAAGTCCTGAATCAGAGTATTCATAATAGCATGAAAAGCAACCATATCTTCCTCAAACACATGACTCAGAGGTGAGTCAGTCCGCGGTATGTGGGTCATTGTTTCAGAGGAAACACTTGATTCATCTTCATGACAGTCCCGTGAGGACACACACGTGTCTCAGCAGCTCTTCGGGATTACCACATGCTAAACCTCTTTAGCAAATCGCTTTAAAAAGACACAACAAACCTCATCTAGTAGTAACTTAAATCTACATGTAAATTAAATGGAAGGCACAGATGGTTGGTTGAGTTATTTTTCAGCGTGACTTTATGGAAATCAATTGCAAAGGCCCCAAATGAGGCCAATAAAATGACCCGTTTCTCCGATAAAATTTGCATTTGGTCAGTTTTAAAAGTGGTGAAATATTTGAATTCTACAACCGATGTAAAGTTTTATACTGAACAAAAACAGAGATTTTAATATCCAAAACATCAGGATATGCTAATTGATCAGGACTGACACAAAGACTTCCGCTTGGCTAATATTAGGAATGGGCCAAAAGCTCACAGATTACATTCATGTTCAACAAAAACGCAACACGAACTCTCATTCTAGATACTTAATTTGATTCACTTTTTAATTTAATTGATTAAATTGAAATAAAAGAGCGAAATGTCGTGCCCAGTTCTTACTGATGTAAGTTAGCTGCGAGGCTAACTTAAGCTAACACCGTCACCAAGCGATTATTTCAACGACATTATAGCTTTAAAATCCAATGTTTATAAACACACACACACACACACACAATTTTACAGTTTTGTAGATGGTTACAACCAAATAAAACAGAAATATTAATGTATACATAAACTGTGGTCGACAACAAAACCTGTTTTGCTCCGGTGCTAATTAGCTCGCAGATTGAGACTAACGTTAAATACCACAAAAATAAACCCTGAATTCGCTTCAAAACAAAGGTTGAAAGGTTTCACTTACTGGAATATGCTTACTCATTGAAGATTGTAGCTTAATCATAAAGCCGCTCCGGAGAATAAGTGTTGTGGTGTTTGACCATACAGCGCTGCCGTGTATGCGACGGAGTCTCCGGTAACCGGTTACAGCTGGACTCAAGAAACCGCACCCTCCAACACACACTACAGCACGAGCACATACAGCCTTACTCACTTAACATCTACACAAAACTACACAGACATTTGATTAATAACAGCACTATTATTATTATTATTATTATTATTATTATTATTAGCATCATCATCATCATTATTATAATTATTATTATTAATAATTATTATTATTATTATACATAATAATAATAATAATACTGTTTTATTAATAATAATAATAATATTTTATTATTATTATTATTAATAATAATAATAATTATTATTATTATTGTTATTAAAATAATACATTTATTTACTATTTTATTAAATAAAACGTTACAAAATAACGTTTATCATGAATTCAATTACATTCTATTCTAAACACATCCTAAAGTTTGATCAAAAAACAATAAATATTATTATTAATAAAATGACACTTCTATTTAAAAAGATTATTAAATAAACCATTACAAAATACAGTTTATCATGTATATTATTATATGCATATTCTAAACATATCATATACTTTTTATGATAATTATTAACAATAATATTTTTTATTTCAAATTTTATTAAAACGTTACAAAATAAAATTGATTATAGGTATTTCATTATATTCATAGTCTAAACACATCCTATAAGTTTTATAACAATAATACTTAAACAAGTATTTAATAAAACATTACAAAATGTAAAGTTCATTTGAATTAATTTCATATTCTAAACATCCTACAGTTTAAATATAATAATAATATGAAATAATAATATGTTTTATTAAAAAGTTAATTAAATAAAACATTACAAAATAAAGTTGATAATGTTTAATTATATTCCTATTTGAAACTTCCTATAAATTTTATAAAGTTATTATTGTTGTTTTAACAATTATGCTTTTACTCAAAATGTTATTAAATAAAACATTAAAAATTCAAGTATGTATTTAATTATATTCATATTTCATATTCACATTCTGCTATTTTATATATTATTAATACTACTACTACTACTACTACTTCTAATAACAGTAATAATAATTGTGTAATAAGTAGTGCTATCAAACCATTAATCGCAATTAATCACATCCAAAATAAGTTGTTTACATAATATATGTATGTTTACTGTGTATATTTATTATGTTATATATAAATACACACACATACAGTAGACCTATATATATTTTAAAAATTTACATGTATATACATTTATATATTTATATTCTTATATTTTATATTATATATACATATATTTAATATATAAACATAACATATTTTTCTTAAATATATATATATGCATGTGTTTGTATTTATATATACATAATAAATGTACACAGTACACACACATATATTATGTAAACAAAAACTTTTATTTTGGATGCGATTAATCACGATTAATCATTTGACAGCACTAGTAAGTGTTCTGTTTAATGCTAGCAATATTAACAATGCCTCAATTTTAAGAGTAGACCAATCTACAACTGATTTAACATAAACACAAAGATCCAGGTGCGATAGGATGTTTACAGCTTAGTGCTCACAAAATACAACATTAACAGCTAAATGTTTCTGTTTTGTCTTCATATTGACAATAAGGTCATGTTTGTTATATAACATACATTTAAAAATCTTGTGTGTGTTTGTGTGTGTCAGAAATAATTTTTTTTGTAGCCATCTTTGTATGCCTTTTATTTGTTTAATATGCTTGCCAACAACAGTGCATGTCACTATGTGTTCATTTATGTTTCCATTCAAAGCAATGGCTTTGGTATTCTGTTAAATAACCTTTTAGTCAAACAACCGCATCTTTCTAGAGATTTGATGAATAATGTGTCGTGGGCTGTTGAAAACAGCTGATGTGCAGAAGCTCACAATGAATGAGTGGGACTGAACAGACTGGACGCTTCATGCATTTGGTTGGGGTGAAAGGGAGCAGATTGCTTTGTTTCAGTCTCTGTTAGTCAGTTGTGTGAGCCACTTTGATTGGGCCAGATGGTTATGAATTTCCAAACATTCACATAAAAAAAAATCCTGAGCATTATGCAGGAATCAGAGGAATCCAGAGATATGGTAAATCTAAATCTAAAAATTTAAATTATAAATTTTTTATTATTACTTTTTATTTGTAAATTTTTTTCTGGCAAATCATCAAATGCAATTTGTACAGTTGATTCAAATTATTTGTATATTGTCATTTGGATGAATCTGGTACTCTATGATTTTATGTTATTGCATTGTGAGTTATTTTCAGTCTGAAAGCCATCAATTTCAACTTCTACAGGAAAAAATTCCAGACCAGGTGGATGGAGGAAATATGAGTGCAGGAAAGAAGAGTGCGGATTCCAGAGCAAAGCGTCTTTCCTCCTCTGACTGGGACAGAAAAGGGACGTCTGTACCCTTAGTGCCATCAAACGTACCAATTCCAGGCCCTACAAACGACCCCATCCTTATTTCCATCGGCCCTCCACATCGTTGTCCATCTGTTTCCAGTGAGTCCCAGTACCAGGGCCTCTCGAGAGAAGATGACTACGCCAACAGGCATGGATGGAGAAGGGAGAACGTGCAATATTACCCATCAACTGGTGAGGGTGGCGTCCCCAAACAAACCTTGGACGAACTGAAAAGCGTGTTGCGTGAGAGCTCCCTACTCAGTGCAAAAGGGCAAGATGAAGGAAGGAGCTACCCTCCGGGTCAAAGAGTGGACTGTAAGCCAGACCAGATGCCATCTAAGAGTTTCAGCACCTTCAAGCCCCTTTCAGAAGACAGGAGAGCATCCAGACTCAGAGAAGGAAGTTCTAGATGGGATTCTGGCGGGTCTTCGATGACCGATGGACCTCCAGGCAGGTCTTCTGGTATGAGTTCACCCACTGCTGAGACGTCCCATTGGGAAGAAGCTGGCACATCACACTCAGGTCAGAAAGATGATTTACGGTTGTCTCAATCTAACACATTTACTTAAACTCGCTCATCTATCTGTCTACTATTTCATATTCCCAACAGACAATGAGAGGTCACAAGCACTCTCTTTTGCATCTCAAAGCTTCATTTCTGACGTTGAGCACATAAAACAGCAAATCGCCCGGGAAAACATAAGCTTTGTTCGCTTTGAGGCCACTGATCTTCATGGCGTGTCCCGATCCAAGACCGTTCCAGCTCGATTTTTTCACGTAAATGTTTTTAAATGCCTCTTATTGATTCTATGTAGTCAATACATTGTAATGGTACAATTTTATGCTGCTGTATGCAATGTTTTGGAATCCAACATAACTTAAAAATGATTATTTATTTATTGTTTTGCAATAAAAAAAAAATATATATTTATTGGGAAGCAACTCTGCATAAGGAATCAAGACTAGTCTTCATTCATTATATCTCGAATATAAGTGTATTTTGTGCACTACCATATTTTTGTACTGTTTTAGTCAACCAAGTCTCATGAGAAAACATGTTTCAATTTTGTATAAATTTGTACAGTGTTATTAGTACAAAAATGTATGATTTCTAACATCAGCAGATCGTACAAAAACGTACCAATGAGGTTATACAAATTCGTTCAAATTAGCCAGCAATTCAGCAATACGTAGGAATTGCCATGAGATTTATACTTTTATATTTATACATTTATACTAAAAACAAAAACATGCCAGTGCACTATGACAATATTCTGCGTTCCAGTTAATTTTTTTCATGCCCTTCACTCAATAATTTCCCTCCATCTCGTTTACTGGGATGTACGTCATTGATTGCATTGCGCGAGTGCCCACTACTGGCAGAACCTTTGCAATGGGCTCAATTGGAACGTCCTAAGCCCTTGATCACTTTGAATCCACCATCCAACGCGATCTGCTATGACGTTATAATCGTGTTTCGGGTTTATACCTGAAAAAATGTGTAGGGGTGTGTGGTTGACGGCATGGTTAACGGTTGGTTTAAGTTAGCAAGACAACTAACATTGCTTACGGCAGCTGTAATGTTAGTAATACATTTGACTGTTTAGTGTAAAGTCGAGTCTTTTTGAAAATAGTGGTAAAAAGTACTCAGTAACATTACTCATTATTGACATCACAGGAAAAAGCAGTATATGGCATCCCCATGCCTAGAAGCTACCTGGAGTTAACCCTAAGCCCTAAAGTCAACGAAGTTGATCATCCGAGCGCAGCCAACTTCAGCAGTGATGTCCTCCTGGTCGCAGATCTCTCCACATTCCAAATCCTTCCCTGGGCAGACCAGACCGCTCGTCTTATCTGTGACCCCTGCACGATCACCGGTGTGCCACTGCGAACATCACCCCGCCTCATAGCCAAGCAGATGCTCGGCCAACTCCAGAGCATGGGATTCTCTATCCACTCGTCCTTCACGTATGAATGCTGCATCTTCGGGGCCCCTGAACGAGTGGGACCTAAAGCTGTGTTCTTCCCTGCCACCACACTGTTGAGCAACTACGATCTACCCTTCCTGCAGCAGCTAGTCAGAGGGATGTACTACATGGGAGTTGACGTTGAGAGCTTCTCATCTGCAAACGGACCAGGACAGATGGAGATTTGCTTCAAACCAAAGTTTGGAATCGACACCGCCGACAGCGCCTTCACCTTCCGCACAGGAATCAAAGAGATGGCCAGGAAGTTCAACTACATCGCCACCTTTTTGACAGACGACAACATCCACAATTCCGGCTTACTCTCCCACAGCCTTTGGGATGCCAGCGGCAGAAGAAGCCTTTTCCACTCGGGCAACGGGGAACTTTCGGAGATCGGCAGAAAGTGGCTCTCAGGTCTTCTCCAGCACTCAGCCGCTCTGAGCTGCCTCTTGGCTCCAGGGATCAGCTGTCGAAACCAGCTTTCCAAAGGCAAGAAAAATTCCAAGAACCATCTTTACGCCACATGCGGCTGCAACGACAACAGCTGCGCCTTCAATGTGAAAATTCACGGTGGACGCGAGACTCACATCGATAACAAGCTGGGGTCAGCGATGGCCAATCCTTACATTGTGTTGGCGGCCACGATAGCAGCAGGACTGGACGGTATTAGACGTAATCTGAATGCCGAACAGCCTCTAAGCAAAGCTCCAGGTCAGCAGAAACAGTTCCCGATCCCTGTTAAATTGGACGATGCTTTAGTGGCTCTGGCAGAGGACAGTGTGATTTGTAGTGCGCTGGGAGAGCCCTTTGTGCAGTATTTTATTGCCATGAAGTGTGTAGAGATTGAGACGCAAGAGCAGGATGCCGACAAGAACAAGGGACTTGAGTATTTTATCTAACATCTGAATTTGCTGAATGATTTTTTTGTGTATTTGAATCCAAGGGATTACATTTCATGTCCCTTTGATTTGGTATTAAAAAAATAACTTTGTATTAAGACAAATAATACCTTCCTTGCAAACAAGATTTCAAAATAAAACCACACAACTGACTGATATCTGCTGCAGACTGTCTGACTGATTTCATTTACAGCATTAAAGGCACAATATGTAAGATTTTTTATTAAAATATCCAAAAACCACTAAAACAGTGTTATATATTTTGCTGACTTGTGTACTTACACTATCCCAAATGTTTCGAAGAATGTTTGAATCCAGAGAAATAAGCTATTTTAACTAGTGACACGGACCGTGTCTATAGTGTCATTGTGTCGCCTGCTAATGACGTCATAACCCCTCGATTTCCGGTTTTGTTTTGTAGAAAAAATGGAAACTCCCATGATTCCACACTCAGTCACGGCGTCATCAAACTATGCCTGTCTCTTTGTTTACTTTGAATACGGGCCCTCTAGCGGCGAAAATGACATATTGTGCCTTTAATGGGCCTAAATAGGTTAAACTTTAAAATCGACTTAAACTTCAGAAGTAACAGTGACTTTTTTTTATGAATAGATAACCTACTTGAAGTTCCCACTTTCCAAATGTGTTGAGCTGGGACCTGGAATAACAAGATGAGACATCTGTTGACTCATGAAGTTGCTAAGCTAATGCTAGAAGCTCCCTAAGCTAGTAATAAAATAGTATTATAGCTTTATCTAAATGATGTGAATCTGATCTAGCAGGGCTGTCCAATCCTGAAGGTCAATGTCCTGCAGAGTTTAGCTCCAACTTGCCCAAACACAATTGGAAGTTTCTAGTAATTTGAATAACCTGGATTAGCTGGTTCATGCATGTTTAGCTAAACTCTGCAGGATAGTGACTCTCCAGGAGCAGCATTGGACATGTGTTTTATTTAAACCTGTCCCAGTAAGTACATGAACTTTAGAAGTTTGATTACTAAAACAACTATTTTTTTCAAATATAAACAAGTTTATGTCAAGTTTTTACAAAATGAAATTAACAGACCTAGATTGTAGTTTAGCTTCGTCCAGCAGGTATTCATGTCAATCTGACTTCACATTAATTGGATTTGCCACTGTGCACCCAACATTTACTCAACTCTTTAAATATTCGATTACACGCCAAGTATAAGACTGTAAATTGACTACACAAAAAATCCACTGAACTGTGTATGTAAACATAGGCCTACTCACAAATGCTGGAAACAACAATACAGAGAAATTACAATGCAACATTACTTGCTCTCATACTTTATGATGGCTTTTGCTATATTAAAGAGCAACAACCAAAATACACTCAATCAAATTAACTTAGAATATTAACTTAGACCTATTGAGACAAATTCAACTCAGACTACTGAAGGTCGGCTGATTTTTATTGGCACCAACAAGCATTTGGAGGGTACAGAACAAAGACAGATAAGACAGTGGTGGCCTTTGTGATCATTTTGACTGGCCCAACAGCACTTTAGCAACTTTCTTATCATTTGGCTGCGAAAGCAATACATAAAACACAATCTTCCTATTTTTTTTCAAATCTATTTTGGAGGTGAAAACTGGTACATTGGTACATTATAAGCTGATCTTAAAGCACTCTTCCCTCAGATAATTTACTGTAAGTATGTTTAACCTCGCAGCTGTACCAGTGACAGATCCTGATTTGGAGACTACTGCAGCAAACTAAAACAGATCATCTTCAGACTATACATCAACTCTATTAATACTTCATGTATCTTCAGATTCTATAAGCCATGGTTTACTAGTTACTTCTTAGTAGGGGTGGGGGATCTCACGGATCTTGGTGGGGTGGGGGATCTCATGGATCTGGGGGGGGTGGGTGATTTAGGAGCTGGAGTTGGAGTGGGAGATTTCACAGAGGGAGGTGGAGTAGGGGTTGGGGACTTAACGGAGGGTGTAGGAGTCTTCCACGTACATACTATTGATAGTGAGGCTGGCGAACTTGCCGCCCTCGAAGGTGACCTTGAAGCGGTCATCGGACACAACCTCCTGCTCATTCTTAAACCAGGTGACCTCTGGGTTGGGGTCACCCCACACTGTGCAAGTAAGACTCAGGCTCTGCAGAGGTGAAAGGTCACAAAGTATGTGCAGATGTTCTATGAATCAATCCATCATATATGAACACTTCGTGACAACACAGTTCACTTAGAAATGCATTAAAAAGAAATATGTACTAGTGAATGTGGGAAAAGTAAAAGATACACTACCTTCTTCTCCATAATGGTGACAACATCTGGCAGGCCACCTACCACTCTACCACGGTCTACAGAGGGCAAATAGTTCATATAACACATTTGGACACTATATCCAACTTAGGTAAATTAAAAGAATGAATAGTTTTCGGTAAAAATGACACTGATTCAATAATAAATTGGTTACTTCCATTTGTATGAAAATTTGGGTCATGATTCTGGCATCTGTACACATTCCTAAGCTGATTTAATGACAATATTTTCATTGTACAAAGCTTTACACTCCATTATACTGCCTGAGTTCAAGTATGCATGAATATGAACCAGATTAGAGCCCTATTAATGTTGCATTTGAGCAGTTCTTGGAAATACTCACTCTTCTCAGCAAAGGCAGCAGCTCTGATGAAATAAAGAGAGAAAATATGAGTGTTTGGCTCTATTTTTGAGCTGATGCTTAAAGGGATAGTTCAAATGACAATTCTGTCATTAATTGCTCACCCTCATGTCTTTCCAAACCGTAAAAAACTTTGTTCATATTCAGAACAAAAATTAAGGTATTTTTGATGAAATCTGAGAGCTTTCTGACCCTGCATAAACAGCAACGCAGCTACCACGTTTAAGGCCCAGAAAGGTAGTAAGGACATCGTAAAATAGTCCACATGACATCAGTGGTTCAACCGTAATTATATGAAGCTCCAAGAATACTTTTTGTGCACAAAGAAAACAAAAATAACGACTTTATTCAACAATTTCTTCTCTTTTGTGTCAGTGACGCATGACTTGACTGTAGTAGTTCCCTTGCTGTTTATGGAGGTCCAGAAAGCTCTTGGATTTCATCAAAAATCTCTTAATTTGTGTGAGATGAACAAAGGTTTTATGGGTTTGCAACGACATGAGGGTGAGTAATTGATGACAGAAATTTTCATTTTTGAGTTAACTATCCCTTTAAGAAAAAAAAGTTGTGTTAAGACAATGAACTGAAGCAATGGAGATTCTCTTACTTAAGTCTCTGGAACTCTGCATAGGCATCAGTGTATGCTGTTAGAATGAAGGAACACATTATAAAAGAGTCCATGACAAATAAATGTTTCCATGACAAAGGAAAATTATAAAAACACGTGCCAGTGTTCGTTTGAAATGGTTTTGGAGAAACTTTTAAACCATTTTTTTTTTTTCCCCATTATTTGATCAGTTTTATAACCCTTCCATTTTTCACTTCATGCTCCCCAAAAATATAAAAATTAATTTTAATCATAGAAACTGTGTATTCGAGTATTTGTATGCATATAACATGTTTAACCTATTTAATGTCGAGTTTTAGGTCACATTCTGAGCCAATAGCATTCAGCAGTCCAGCTTCCACTTGCCTTGTCCAGAAAGGTCAAAGGTGCGAGAGTGTGATTTTTTCCCATCATGAATCTCAATGGTATAATGTCCCTTTTCCTTATCTGTGGGCTCACAGATCTGCATCCAGGCCATCTCAGATGTGCCTCCGATTCTCATCTTCTCTGAGGAGGAGATCTTACTCTCTCTGAAGCCAGAACAACAAAAGAAAGTCAGCCACTTTGGCTACAACCCACCAAACACGACACACAAACTCTGTTCTGATCTCAAGCTTATATTATCATATAACGCCTCATATCATTTCATTATCATCTAATTTGTATATTCTGAGTCTGAACATACGGTTGGTCTCTCTTTATGTGAATGTACCTATGAAACCAGCTAGTTTTCATCTCCTCTGTGTAGTACTTCATGTAGCACTGCAGTCTGATACCCTCTGGTGTGCACTGAAGAACCAAGTCAGAGGCAGAGGAACCTGTAACGAAACACACAAAACATTCAAACTACAATAGTGATACTATTCTTAAATGGATCTGAAAAATGCCAGTTTTAGCCAGTTCATAAAATCAGACGAGAGTAACCAACATACCAGCAATACTGGCGATGGCGTTGATGATATCCTCAAACACTGACAAAAAGAGAATACAAAATTAATAATCATGACTACATACATTTTTTTTATTATAGTGTGTCTATAAATACACTATTACTTAAAAGTTTGGGGAATCTTATGCTCACCAAGGTGGCATTTATTTGACAAAAATCCAGTAAAAACAGTAATATTGTGAAAGACTGTCACAATTTAAATAATTATTTATTACTGTGTTGCAAAGCTGAATTTTCAGTAGCCAGTCTTAGTGATCATAAATCATTCTAATATGCTGATTTGCTGATCAAGAAACATTTCTTCTTATGTTGAAAACAGCTGTGCTGCATGATATTTCTGTGAAAACAATGTAAAAGTCTTTCCACATCATGGCTGATTTTGTAACCCTAAACACACAGTACAATCATTTTAAATATAATTTTACCATGGGTTTTAATTGTGACTTTAATGGTACTACTACTACTGATAATAATAATAATAATGTCAACAATTGCCTGTTTTTATTAATTATTTGTTTATTAAAAAAAAAAAAAAAATTAAAAAAAAATTTGCATTAGCTCTGCGATGCGCATAATAGCCTAATTGTATTAATCCTTTGTAGTTTTTTATTTATTATAATTGATTTTTAAATAATAATAATAATAATAATAATAAATAAATAATAACTGGCTGATTTTGATTATTATTTGTAAATAATAATAATAAAAAGAATAAATAACAAAAATAATAACTGGCTAATTTTGGTTATTATTTGTAAATGTATTATTATTATTTGTAAATAATAATAATAATAATAATAATAATAATTTTCCCCCTAAATTAAAAAAGTAAATGGTTTAAAGGTTTTTAGGAAACACTAAGGTATATCATATATATATCATATAAGTGATTTTGGAGCAGTGAAGTGCTGGCTTGTACCTCAGCACTCGTGATGGCTTTATCGTTGACGATGAACCTGTAGTTGACAGAGGAGGACAACTTCAGAGCCTGCACCCAGAACCGCACGTGACCCTTCTCCAGAATTTCATAATTCAGCTCCGTCTTCAGCGGAACAACTGATAAAAAAAGTAAAAATGTTATTCATTTAAACACCAAATCATTTCTCAATATTCTCAATAAATGACGACCAAAAACATTCATGAACAATCCACAGGCAGCTCACTGGGATGTTTGATGTTGTAGCTCAGCTCCTGCATTTTTTTGAGCTCTGTAAAAGAAAACAGGTATCATATGAATTGAACTTCTTCATAAGTAAATAACGAAAGAGATATTTAAACCCAATCTCTGACCTTCTTCATTGACGGAGTAACTGGATGAAACTCCATCTGTGTCAGTCACCGCGACAGAGTAGACGCCCAAATCCTCCTTCTCAGTGTTTACAAATGTCAGCTTAGAGCTTGACAGAACACAACACAGCTCGTTCATTTATAGCACTTTGCTACAGAACTTCATTATGTAATGATGTAATATATGCAACACGGTCTCATGACAATTCGTAAGTATTTTGCAATTTGATAAACTGATTGCAATTTCATATGAATATCATTTGTATTTGTGTACAATCTTTTGACCTTGGTGGTGATATTTTACCCACAAATCATACGTTTTTACACTAGCCAGATTGTGCAAACTCATTCACTTGCACGAAATTCTCATGAGATTGGGTTGAATAAATGACAAAATCCACACAGATCAGACATACTGTCTTCCAGAGGACGTGATGGAGACCCTGCTTGATTCAGTGATTTCTTTGTAGGACTTTGACCATGTGAACTTAGAGGTCTCGGAAACTTCACAAGCTTCAAAGTTTAAGAAAATGTCTCCGGTTTCTTCATCCACACCACATGCAATCTCCTTTGTACCTTCAAAATAATGCAAAATAATATCAAAATAAGGAGTTTTATCTATCATAATCCACTTTTTGCCATTCAATGAAAGGTGACCCTATTGGCTTTCACTGTATGGGAAACAGCAGCTCGGGCATCCTGCTAAACACCTTTTATGTTCCAAGCAAGAAAGAAATACAGGTTTGGAACAAAACACGGCACTTATGAGAGCCGGAGTGTAAAGACAGCCGTGTGCTGTGTGCTTTCCTCTCAATAACGAAATAAACAGAGAACAAAAATGACAGCGGTGAGAAAACAGCAGTTAAGAAAGCATCTAATCATAGCGATGTGTATATGTTTGCATGAGCTGTGCAATCGGCACTCAAGTCACGTCTCGTTTATTTATATAGTGCTTTATACAATAGATTGATTAAAAGCAAGCAGATTTACAGTATGAAAAAACAATGTCAGTAACGCTTTCAGTTAGAATTACAACTTGATTTTCTGTTATAAAGCAGCTATCCATTGTGAAGCAAGCTAAAGATAAAATCTTTTTATTAGTGAAGGCAAAAATTAATAAATAAATAAACATTATTACATTAAAGTGATGGGTTGGTTTGTATAGATTAAAGTTTAATCTAGCTCTGTACAGTTTTGATTATTATAACACTATAAGGTGTTTTAAGAGAGCTAATGTTGTGAATAAAATAATTTATCCAAAAATAAAATGTCTTATCATTTACTATTATTTTGTTCCATATTCATATGACTTACAAAAGCAGTTGTTAGGCAGAATGATGAGTTGCTTTTTCAAACAGTTAAGTAACTGGTGAATGAGAATGCCTCTCTGTCTGTCATCTCATTTTGTGTGCCAAAAATATAGATTTTTTATTGTTAAAAAGTAATTGTATAACTATTTCTACAATTGTAATACAATTGTTTGAAATTTTCAAAAGCTGAAGCGATTGCCTTATTTTATTTATTAGTTAGAACGTGTAACTCGATATTTTCACAAATTGTAAAAGCTGAATAATAGAACAAAGCCTACTGATTAATCTGTGAAATAATCGACGATTATCGTTAATCGTTAAATTATCGGTAAGCGTTAAATTAATCCAATTTACAAAAAAATCTAAATCGTTTGTTGCAGCCCTATTGTTAACGAGTGCTTACAGTTGATAATAATACAGTATTGCAGTTACCTGGCAGCGCTTTTGCACATACAGGATCGGACACATCTGAGGCTTTTCCAACACCTTTAGCATTCACAGCCCGCACTCTGAACACATATGATGCTCCAGTCTCTAGTCCAGCCACCTACAGATCAGTGTATAAACATCTGAATATGGATTTCACATATCACATATCAACAGAGTTCTGTAACAAAATGAGGGGTTTTGTGTGACACCTTCAAGTAGCAATGCCCAATTGGCTCAGCATTCACAGCGGCAAAATCTGATGAGCCCTTCTTAGCCATGTCCACAAAGTAGCCAGTGATGGGACAGTCTCCGCTGTACACAGGAGGCTTCCACTGCACCAGGACAGAGGTGTCACGCACCTCCCAGAAACTAATGTCGTGCGCTGGGCCTGATAACAAAGAGAGGAATTATGAACTTAGACAAGATGGTACTTTCTGCTGTGCAACCTCCATATATGAACAGTGTTGGGGAGTTACATGTAACAGAGTTACATAATTTAATTACAAAATAAATGTAACTGTAATCTGTTCCAGTTACTTATGAAAATGTTAAAGATTACAAACGGGGTTACATATGAATATTTTCACACACATACAGATATGATTGATTTCTTTCCCATATTGCATTGACTGCTTTAAAATATGAAACACCAATCTTTCAGGAGTTAAGGACACATGCTTAACTGTTTTAGTTCCCATTTGGGTTTATGTATATGCTTTATTTTTTAAGATGAACTGCTTTTTCCAAGGCATTGTTCGATGCCAGTGTTTCCTGTCATAGCTATGCAAAGATTTGATTTCAAAAACAGTATCATAGCTATTAAACGGTTTCTTGTTATGATTTTAAATCTGCATTTAACCTCAGAATGATCTCAAAGTAAAAAGATGTGCTGAAGTCTGATTTTGTGGTGGCTGTGCTTTAAAATTCATGTGAAGAAGGATTTTGAAAGTCTGACAGTAATCAGTGTTGAGTCCTACTGTAAGGTTAACCGTGCCTGCTTTAAATGTTTCAAAATGGTTAACAGTTGAAAACATTCATTAGAAATCTAAAAAAGTAATCAAAAAGTAATAAAATGTAATCAGTTACATTACTTTAATACATTAATTGAAATAGTTACACTACTTATTATATTTTAAATAATCTGTAACCTATTACATTTCCAAAGCAACCTTCCAACGCTGTATATGAATAACGATGACAGGAGCGGTTCAGTTATTTTTTTTCATCTTTAGATTCTAGGTCTTTTGCTTTATACGGACAGTAAACAGGTACTGACCAGGTTCAGCCATTGTCCAGGCCTCACAGGCAAAAGCTTTGCTGGGCTCAGACGGCAGGCCAACTCCGGCCAAGTTAGCAGCCTGAACCTTGAACTCGTAGAAAACTCCACTGGTCAGATTCTCCACCTGGATCCAGATGTTAAAAATACAGACCAATCCAGAAAACACACAACGACGGTACACATTTAGAGTAATGTTTTTAATCCAAAGATAAAGATAGTTTTTAAATAAGTTCTTGAATAGATATTCAAGGGGTCATATGATGCTATTTTAAAGATCATTCTTTTGTGTATTTGGTGTAACAGAATATGTTGACATGCTTTAATGTTCAAAAAACACATTATTTTTCAAATACAGTACATTATTGTAGGTCCTCTGTGCCCCACCTCTCTCAAACACGTTGTTTTCAACAAAGCCCCCTCTGACAAGCGCAGTCTGCTCTGATTGGCCAACTGACCCAGTGCATTGTGATTGGCCAATCAGAGCATTCATGGAGAGCGTACCGTGAAGGTCCTGTGGACAGCCGGATTGGGGCTAACCTCCTTCCAGTCGACTGATCCCGCCTCACGCTTGTCCAGGTAGTAAGATGTGATCTTAGAGCCGCCGGTGTTTTTGGGGCGTTTCCAGGCCAGGGTCATGGAGGATCCATTGCAGTTCAGCAGACTGATGCCGTATGGGGCAGAGGGAGTAGCTGATCATGTGAGACAGAGGGAAAAACGTTCAGCGAGATGGATAACAGTTCTGACAATCACATACATTATGAGTGACTAGAGCCATTGTGGATCAAATAAAAATCAGGTGCAAGATTAAATCATTGACTGTGACCAGGGGCGGGGCGGACTTAAGCAAATTCCAGGGCCCCAACACAATAACTATGTGCTCTTTTACACCTAACCATTATTTTGCTCGCTCGCCCTCATTGTTTATAGTTTATTTATCCCTTCACAACCAGTAATTAGTCAACCTGATGCTGTTCTAAAGCCATATTAGGATACCTTATTTTTTTTTGGAACACAAAAAAAGACATTATCAAAGAAAAGAAAAAAAAGCTTGCACTTGTCCATTTCATAAATATTAAATTTTTTCAATCTTTTTACAAGCATAAAATTATCCCATGCAACTCATTCCATTTTCCAAGTGTTCTGAAGGCATATGGTAGGGTTTGCCGAGAAACAAATCGAAAATATAGTCTATTATTAGCAAAAATCTCCAGTCATTGCATTCGTGCATTTATATGAGTGTTTGAACTGGCACATCTAGGAAAAGCACAAAAGAGAGTCATTTTGAAACATCAAGACAAATAAAATTGTGACTTGAAACACAATAATTTCTTTACTGAGGTGAATATCTCTGTTCTGAGACAGTCAGACGGTCTACAGCCTAGAATGTGCGCAGAGCGCTCCGTGTATAATCACTAAAAGCTGTCACTCACACAGTTCATTGCAATCTCACGACATTCCATTAATAAGCTCTCTACACTACACAATGAATCTCTTATTTGCATCGTATCTACACTTATAATGAGAGGATTCCCGAGCTTGCAGAGCTCAGCACTTTACAAAAACTCCGCGTTTTGAGCGGTGAGTGGATTCTAACTTAAAGATTCTGGTCATTGCATTCAAGAAACCAACAGATATGTCTGTGATTGGCTACATTGCTCAATACTGCAAATGTGTTTCGCCAATATCAGATGGGGGCCCCTGATTCCCCGGGGCCCTAAGTGGCTGCTTACCTCGCTTATATGTTAAGTCCGCCCCTGACTGTGACATTAGATTCAGTGATTGGTTATAGATGCAGTATCATACACAAATTCACAAACAGCCAAGAATTAAACGTGCCTACAATAAGTGTACCTCACACTGACGTGACTTTACTTTAGAGCTGATTTTATTAGGCTTGTGTGTAAATATCAGTGCTAAATCGTTTTATAAATGGAAATATATTACATACATACCATACTCCACTGCGCCAACTGTATAAGATAACACAAGCATTTATGGCAACAACACAGAGCTTTATTTAAATGTTAAATGAGAAATTGTACATGTCTTTTATATTTGCATCTCCAACTGTCAATGTTTGTTTTTGCATGATAATACATCCACGCCAGTAGGTGTCAGTATAAACTACAAGACCACTATTGTATTCAGGCCGGTAAAACACAAAACATATTTAGTGCACCTTTAATATGCTACTTTAATATTCCGACTATTCTTACACCTTGAATATTTTACTATTTATACTGTCTATTATTGGACACATTTGCATATTTTTGCATATGCAACTGACGATGTTTGGATAATACATCCACACCAGTAGGTGTCAATATAAACTACAAGACCACTGCTGTATACAGGCAGATGAAACAAAAAAAATATTTAGTGTGCCTTTCAACCAATGATAAATCACCATTTTGGTTAACTTATTGTCTTATCCTAACTTCCCTTTCCTTTATAACCTTTGTAACATTGCTATAGAAGCCAGCATAGTTGCATACGTACAAAGAGCAGCATCAATGAAGAGAGGAGCAGATTCCTGTGATTCTTCGCTCAACCCGTAAGCATTCACGGCTTGCACACGGAACACGTAAGTATCTCCGGGGACCAAACCATGGACCACAAACCTGACGAATGTAAATCCAGATGGTCAAGCACAATGTAAACCAACCTCCAGAAACCAGTCAAGACTTCTCAAGCGATTATTGTGACAAAGTTAAACTAAATCTGGATGTTTTGTGCACATTTTACCTGGTGTGTTTGTAAGGCCTGTGGTTACAAGGGAACCATTTTTTGGAGCCGACCAGACAGGCATCCACATAGTAACCCATGAGGTTGTTAGCATGTTTCGGGGCCTCCCATTGCACAAAAGCAGACGTTTTAGTGTTTCTGGAAGCAATCACCTGTCCTGGGGCAGAGGGGACACCTGCACAAACCAAAACACAATTTTTAGAGATATTTTCACAGGTTTAACTGGGAGTGGAAGTCTGCCGTGCTGAAAGTGAACAAGTTACGGTGGATGGATGTGGGCTGAGGTGGGACTAAAACACAATAAATGTGAGCCAAACAACAGTGTCAAAGTTCTTGTGAAATGGAAAAGCATTTAAGATCACAGTGATATTTCAGACTTTTAGCGAGCTAAGTGATTTCCTTTTCGCAAAGCAGAAGGCTGTGGTAACATGAACATACATACCAATATTCGAAACAACACCTGCAAAATACAGCATGGAAGTCATTACACAACAAGCATTTGTAGGATTTTTTTCACATCTTCTGGACATCTTATATCACACAGTTTGGCATCTGACAGTTAAACAACCACAACAGCAGGACTGTTACGCTGCAGTTTGAGAGTTTAGAGCCTTCTTACCATAAGGGTCCACCTTTTGGATGGGTGCTGTGGGCTCTGACGGCTCACTTGAGCCATACTTGTTGACAGTGATTACACGGAAACGGTAAGATTTCTTGTCCTCCGTATCGTAAACAGGGTAACGGGGAGATCGTAGCTTGACCGCAGTGTTGACTCTCTGCCAGACGTGACTGTCACCTACACACTAAGTCATGAAGAGTTTCCCCTTTAAAAACCCAGGAATTACGGGAAAAACAACCTTTTTACCAAATATGATGACTGGCACTGTAAAATGACATTACATTATTACATTGATAATGTATTACATTAAAATACTACATTTAAAGCACAATTAAAGACTTTTATAGCATTTTTATGTATAAATTCCTTGACTTCCTTGATTTTCATGACTGTTTTAAATCTAACATCGTTTATTCTGAAAACTAGTAAGATTAAGAAACTGACATAATTAATATTTAATAGATTTTAAGCATGATATGAGAAAAACGTTTATTTTTACAGATAAAAAAAGTGCACACACACACCTTCTCAATGAGGTACCACACAGGTGCCCGTCCGCGAGGGCTAGGTGGTGTCCAGCTCAGAACAATGTATGTTTTGTTTATTTCTGTAGCATGCACATTGGTGGGTGGACCTGGTATTGTTACATACACTAAACAGGAATAAATCAGATGTTTATTTATACAAAATAACACTTTTAACATATGCACTCTTATTCGCAGTGTGTTAGTAACTTAGTACTAATGTGTTGAGACAACATGAATTTTGGGCAAAAACAGAGGACCTGTTCACTGACAAACAAAGCTACGGTAGAGAAAGAACTGAAAGGCATACAGTATATTGTATTGATTACTTTACCATTCCTCAGAATATTCTGTGAATATCGTAAGGAAAGTAATTGTATAAGAAAATAATAATAGCAGCCAAAAAATCAGTTAGTCATATCCTGGTGAATAAAATTTTAGGATTTAGACCACACTGCAGAAAAAAACATTTTAATACTTTGAGATTTATTTAATTGGATTAATTTAATTTAGGTGGATTTAATTAACAGATTATTTCACTCATTTATTTGCTTGTTAAATTCTGTCTGAGGAACACACATGTTTTGGGTTAAATGCAGGGATGGTATTAAATCAGCCTTGGAGAATTATTGGTTAGCTGGTTAGCCAGTTCAAACTTAATATGTAACCTTATCTAACCTAAATTATTATTATTGATGCTATTTATTCATTTTTGCTCTTGTTGTCAGACCAGTCTGATTAGCTGACTTGAAATACTTTTGGAAGTCATGCTGCAATTCATTTAGAAACTATTACTATTTCTTTTCTAATGATATATTTACATTTATATGTGGTTTACCTGGCCTCATATTAATTGGGAGATGACATGTAATATCCTTACTTTTAAAAATTAATTTGAAGTCAGGACTACTTCAAATGAAGCCAAAAAGGTGATAAAAAATGAAGAAAAAAAAAAGATTAGTTACTGGGCACCTTCCATTAATATGAATTTGAACATAAAATCATTAAGGCCCATGAATATTCCATCGTTATTCTTGGTTACAATGGTCCCATGCATACATATTTTTAATATAATACACAAGGAAGAGTTGTCTTCCTTAAAAATTAAAAGGTAATTAAAAGGTTTTGTTTAACCCTTGATGTTTTACTAGATTAAATGAATGAATGAAAAAATGGATTAAGTGTTAAGTTGTAATTTGACAGAGACAGCATGCATTTGTTTGGATTGAAAGGATGGAGAAAGATGATATTAATGGCTCAGTGAAATCTGAAATTGAATGTACCTCCTTGTAGTTCCTCCTGTCGAATCGCAATGTCATATTTCCCTTCGATTTTAATCACTGTTTCACAATACATAAACATAATACTTCAATTTTCCATCAGGTTGGGTGATTCCATTTCAAAATATTAAACACCGGACTGCTTTTAAGATCACCAGTACAGATGCCTTTAAGCTTCTGTATACAACTTACTTGAAATGTGTATTTCAAATGTGACACTAAAGGCATATAAAATTGAAATGTGAAAAAACACAGAAAGCGAAGTATTAAAGGCACTTGGATCACACCTGTGAGAAAATGATCTTTGTAAATTCGGAGCAAAACATGAAACTGAGCATCTAAGGAGGAAAAGCATAACGCTGCATCCTGTACACTTACTGTGACTAAAGCCAGAGGTGTTTGGAGCTTGAAGAAGTGTTTTTTTTCTTCTTGCTACTGATGCAAGCTCGCATTTTGCTTCAGTTTATTATAACAGCTCATTTAAATCATGTGGGTTATGCTGGTCCTGTTTTAGCACAAGATGTCTTTATCTGCTGTTTTTAGACCTACCTTCCACATCACTCTCCACTTCTGCAGCGGTCACTCCAGAAGACATTCTGGAAGGCAGACTGATGCCATCTTTGTTCACAGCCCTCACTCTGAAGTGATAGGAAGCCCCCTCGCTCAGGCCGTGGACGGGCAGCTTACACACTTTCACAGGGGAGTCATTGCACTGGACCCAGTCCTTGGTTCCTGACTTGCGTCTGCAAGATGCAAGATGTATGTAAGATTTTTTGAAAATATGTCTAACATGTCTTTTTTTGTGCGTTTAACTCTTAATTATTTATCTAAATAATAAAAATGTATGCCCATTTCTGCAACTGAATAAAAAAAATAAAAAAAGCTCCTGAGATTTTTTGTCTCATAATTGCATGATACTGAAACTCGCAATTCTGAGAAATGACTTCAGAATTGCTAAATATAAACTCAGATTTACTGGGTTTTAAACTCGCAATTCTGACTTTTTATTCCTAAGAATTGTGAGATATAAACTCAAAATTGAGAATTTTGCAAGGAAAAAATTCTATAATATTTTATACTTTTTATAGTTTATACTTCACGAGTTTATACTTCACAATTCTGACTTCATAACATGCAGCCGCAAGTTATTAAGTCAGAATTGTGAGATATTAACTCGCAATTCTGAGAAAAAAAGTCAGACTTGCGAGTTCATATCTCTCAATTCTGTCTTGATTTCTCAGAATTGCAAGTTTAAATCTCACAATTCTGACTTTGTAACTTTCACCTGTCCACAAAGTATCCAGTGATGGGAGCCTCATGGGTGGTGTTTGGAGGTTTCCAGGAGACCAGGATGTAATCTGCGTTGACATCAGAGACTTTAACATCCATGGGGGCTCCAGGGGCCCCGGCCACTGTGGGAGTGGCATCTGTGAAACAAATACAGACATATTCAAATATATATATGTCATTTAATGGATGTATCAAAAAAGCAATTAGATTGCTTTTTCATTTAAGTGTTAGACTAAATGTATTAGCTCTCCAAAACCATTTGTGTTTGCTCACAAATCTTTGTTTCGCAGGGAAAGGTAAACACAACACAGATTTTATTGTAATTATTCCTCCAATCTCATATTTTTTCCACACCCATGTCCCCCTCCCAGTTATTTTAGTGATGGTTAGCTTATGCATCATATTCTGTACCTTTAACAAACAGGTAAGCGCTGTGCTCAGCAGTTCCATCCTTGGTCCAAATGCGAAGCGTGTAAAGACCCTCATCATCCTTGTTCAGGTGAGGAAGTGTAAGCTTGGCGACCCCACCACCAATTGACATCTCAGCCCACCTGGATGGCATCAGCAATGTATCTACACACACAAATACAACGTGTTAGTTTAGCTTTTTCAGTGCTTCTAAACTGACTGAGAAATGCAGCCTCTCACCATCTCTGTACCACATGGCCTCGGGTGGCAGGTTTGGCAGATCAGGCACCACCACCATGTTGGCCACCAGATGAACAGACTCTCCTTCGGTACCAAACGTCACTCCAAATGACTCCAGCAGGGTCACCTCAAGCTTGCTGGGATGAATGCCCAACAGAGGAGCTAAAGGAAACGCAATATAAACCCAAGACCACCCATGGGTCAGATGTGCACCATACCAATAAACCAAACCATTTGATTGTGCAAAGCATGTTTAGCTAATGTTTTTGTGTGATATAAATCTATGAGTTAATTCCTCATATTTATTTATGTATTTATATATTTTAACACAATGAATTTCCATGACCGTTTTTCATGATTATAGAGACGGCACTCACAAAAATAAATCCTAATCTATACGAAATATTTAAAAGCTACCAAAAATAACCACAACTGATGACTTTTAAAGATTATTATAAGCTGATAGGAAAAATTATATTTCAATGCTTTTGAGTTGACTTGAAAAACTTGGAAAAAAAAAGTGATTATTTGATGTTTTTGCATTCCCCCCAAAAAAGTGATAATAGAGATTGTACTCTCAATGACAAATTATTAACCTATATGAAATTTTTAAAGCTGCAAAGTGATTAGTGGATCTTTTAATTATAGAGATTGCACTCACAATGACACATTTCTAACCTATATGAAACATTTTAAAGCTGCAAAAGAGATATTTCCATGACTTTTAAATATTTTCTTTAATAAGATGATATATTATTTTAAATAACTTTGTTTTTAATTTTATTTTGTATGTATTTTATTTATTTTTAATGTACTACTATTTATTTGTAATATATTTCATTGCATTTACATTTTGTTTGTTTGTTTATTTTTACATTTATTTATATATTTAGCAACCATACTTCATTTGCTTAAATCCCCAAGATATAAACTTCATCCCTGTGAAATGGTAAATCCTATTTGTCTTCATATTTCATATTAACTTTCACACAAAAAAGGCAATTTGTTCTGTTAATTATTTTTCCACAACCCAGTTCTTCAAGTCATTTGAGAATCTATGAGAATAACTAAGGATTCAGTAACTATGAACACATGTTGTTTGTATATTGACAGCTCTAGGTGTTTACCACACTGCCTTCTGTTTACAAGCACAAATGAACCCTGGGAAAAATGTGACATTGTTTCCATGTCTTATCAAGGCTTATCTGTTCTGTCTTAACAGAACAGATATTTATGGCTCATGATCTCAAGTAAGAGGTCCTTCAGACCTGGGCCTCAGCCAAACGCAAGCTCCATCTCACCTTGCCCTGGCAGATGGGAGAGCTCTCCTCCCCCTAGTGGCCCTACATGGAAAGACAAGCAAGGTAAATTACTGAAAGACCAAAAGAGAAGAGAAAAGATGAGGAGAAAAGAAGACACACTCACTCCTGACGCAGACAGTAGCCTTGGAAGTGGCCTTTCCATGCGGATTGGTTGCCACAGCACTGTACACTCCAGAATCAGTAACTGCACATCTGCAATCAAACAACACTATTTCACAATGTAAATAAACAGGGGTGTTCTAACCAGAAATATAAAGAATTATCTTTAGTGCCTTTCAAAATTCATATCATAGATTATAGAGGCCATATGGATTCAGATTAGTTAACCCAAAAATTAAAATGATCATGTTATCATTTACTCGTGTTGTTTCAAACCCCTGTCATTGTATGGCTTGCTGTCTTCAATGAAACACAAAAGAAGAAAATGTTGATATTTCAAAGAAAGTTCGTAACCAAATCCTTTCAGTGCCCACTGACTTGTATGGATGGGGAAAAAAACGATTATTAACTATTATTGGAACAACATAAGGGTGAATAAATGATTACTCACAATTACATTTACATTTAGTCATTTAGCAGACACTTTTATCCAAAGCGACTTACAAATGAGGACAATAAAAGCAGTCAAAACGAACAAAAGAGCAACAATATATAAGTGCAAATGACAAGTCTCGGTTAGCCTAACGCAGTACACGTAGCAAGGTGTGTATATATAAATCTGCAGGACCGGGCAGTTTTAGCAATGTGGTCTGAGAAATTGCTAATAAAAATATATTTGTGGTACTCTCCCATTCAGTGCTCTCGAAGTTTACCCAACTATGACTTTCGCTGCAGAGAAACCCGAAAATTTAGATTAATTTAGAATTTAATCTCAATTAGCATTAGAGATTAAATTCTAAATTATATAACAAATCACTTTACAAAATAAAGGTGAAGTGTGTGATTTCTGTGCCACTATAAACCTTATTGACATTTTCGGGTTTCTCTGCAGCGAAAGTCATAGTTGGGTAAACTTCGAGAGCACTGAATGGGAGAGTACCACAAATATATTTTTTTGCATTCCCATTTACTCAAATAGCAAAAGAAAATCTCCACCATAGTGTTTTCATGACTTTCAATTAAAGGAAAAAAACTGAGAGACCAGGGTTGCCAGGTGTTCACAACAAAACCCACCCAATTTCTACTCAAATCTAGCCCAAAACTAGTCCATTCAGCAATTCAAGGGGGGCTCCCCATTAAAAATCGCGTTCCGGGGATAAAATACATGTTTTTGGTGGGGTTCCCCTGGTAAAATTCGCACTCCAGGGGCTAAATATCACGTTATCACGCTTTAACCCGCGGACATGAAAAACAACCAGCGGCAACAGTGATAAAGTAGCCCAATTCCGCGGGAAAACCGCGGACTTGGCAACACTGAGAGAGCCTGATAACGGTAGTCAGAAGAGAGAACGTTATCAAAACTTTTGAGGATTTACAAAGTCTTGTGAAAAGGGTCCATTGTCATTGTGATCAAAACTGGAAAAAAAATGTTCCCTGAACACTCCCCCCGTCTGGTTGGAATGTTCAAAGAAACAGTAATGTTTTAAAAGCGCAAGAGATCCACAGTGTTTACACTTTTTGGCTAAATTATCTTACAATTGACACTTCGCAAAGACCGGCCCCCCTTCATTACTGTTGCTATGTCCGACAAACCATGGCGCTCTCACGCCACACGCCATGTTTTTACGCAGTGAAGAAAACATTGCGGAACAAAGAGGACACGGACAACGCACCACAGCAGGTTACTTTAGGTATGAAACAAAGTCACAGCTTTTTTCATTTTTTAAGAAATTCAAACAATAAATTCCGTTTTGTGGCTCTTTAATGTATCGTGACAGATCACTGTAGCACGTGAACCGATCGACTCTTCCTCTTTACTAGTTATAGCATGAAATAAACATGAATGAACATCAGAAAGTATCTTGTTTCCACAGCGTAAAGACGTCAATACACATTTTTCAATTTCAACTCCACCAATGTTAATCTACTCTCCAGTCTGGTTTGTTTGTCAGACAAAAATGGCAGATTCAGATTCCAGCAAACGGTCAGCTGTCTGTTCATATTAAACTGGGAAAGGAGAAAATATCACAATGGAAAAATTACACACTTCAGGTTTAAAGGTGAGACAAAACATTTGTTTCACTATCTGCCAGTGGTCATTTGGCTAGTTAACAGGGTGGAAACACGCTCTCTATCATATGTTCCTCTTTCAAGAACTATTTGGTATGAGTGGAGAGACTTTGCATCCAGTACATGATCTCACACGACAGCAGGTGTGTTGGACTCGAAGGAGTGAGAATAGAGCACCGAAATGTGACCTTCAGTCCCTGTGGACTATTTTAGAGCCACTCCTTTTCCTTTGCAATGCATAAGAGATGTTTGTCCTGACCAATACACCAATTTGCTTTTGAATTTGCATTATTTGATTTCTCTCTGAGAGCTGTAGGAAAACGTATAACAAGCTTTTCTGAGAATGAATGAGCGTCTGGTCAGACCAAACAGCGGCCACTGCGACGGCCTGGGATCTCTGAGAGGTGCTACTGTAATGGCGGCTGTGAGTCTTCACGGGCGTCAGGCGTTCCAGGATCGAATGACGCATAGCTAAGTTGAGCAGAACCAACAGCTGAGACTTCTTCAAGATGAACCTCACTGGGACTAAATTGGAAAGTGTACTTCATTCATTTTCGCAGACCATTACAGATGGAAAATGGAGAGTTGCACTCTTCCAAAGAGTGAAAGTGAATGGAGGCCAGGAGGCTTTTTGTTCATTTTCTTCAAAAACAGACCAAAAGCACCATAAAAGTAGTCTGTATGCTTTGTAAGCTACATTAAATCAGATGATACTGTATCTTTGTGAGAGGAAAAGATTGAATTTTTTTAATAATTAGTCACTGACAATGTGGCCTTGAAAAACTCACTCACATTCTAAAAAATATCCTGTTAAATTTATGGTTAAAAAACAGTCAGATATTTGCTAAAGAGTCAACCTGTCAGCTGTGATTGACAAAACACCATCACAATAAAAACTAAATAACATAAAATGCAACTCAAAACACACTAAAGTACATTACTAATACAAAAAAATAAAAATAATAAAATGTGATGCGTCACTTATAGAGACTTCTGGGAATGTAGATTTACTGTTATAAATTACCATAGATTATAAATACTTGCAAAATAAAACAATGACAGTATATTACAGTAAAATTACATGTATTAAATATATACAATTACAATATTTCACCGTATATGATAATGCATCTTAATAGTTAACCAATAAAGAGTTTTTTTTTCACTAGCATTAGTTTTTTCTGTAAAAATTCTAAAAAAAAATTTTACAGGTCACCATTCATTTTCATATGGAAGAGAGCAGCTTGGACATTCTTTGCAATATCTCGCTTTGTGTTCCATGAAAGAAAGACAATCAAATGGGTTTTGAAAGACATAAGGGTGAGTAAATATTGAAGCTAAGCTCTCTTGAAAATGTGTTGCTAATTGATTTAGGTACAGTAAATGTGTAATAAAGAGAAACTTGAGCTGTTGTTTAATTGTTAGCAACTCTAAATTTAAAAAGGAACAAGGAAACTATTAGAGGCTTAACTGTGAACTGAGAGTGTGTGAGGTCTTACCTGCTAATAATCAGACTGTGAACCCCGTACTTGTTCTCAATTTTGTACTTTCCAGGAGCATTCAAGGGTTCAATGGCAACATTATTCCTATACCTGCCAATACAGAGAAATACTGTACAGTTATGCTTAATTTGAACCAAATTAGTAGGAGAGTAAAACTACAGCAGAGACATAAAGGACCTCATGAATGAAGCATGAGCAGAATAAATGCATGTGACAATTCATTTAAGCACAGTTTCACAAACAATTTACAGCTAAATGTTTCATGAAAAAAATCCAATGACTGTATCACCTATTCGCTGAGATTATTCAAATAATATCACAGTTTATGCTGCTGAAGTTTAAGTCAAGCCATCAGATCGTTACTAAAGCAAGTTATATGAAGGTTTTGGAATATAAAACTGAATCCAAACCATTTGACAATAGGGTTGGGTTGGCCAGACACGGTGCAGAACAGCTTGACGGGAGTCTTTTCCCACACAGTGTGAGCTCTCAGACTGATCAGGAAGTCCGGTGCTTTGGGAACCTCAACAGGATAATCCTTCCTCAAAGGCATAATTCCCTTCACCTGTTAAAATACAGGAACTCTTTGACCTTCATTGTATGGACAAAATACACAACACTGTTAAAAACAAAAAAAAGCCATCAGGTTTGGAATAACAACACGAGAGTGAGTAAATGATGACAGAATGATCATTTTGGGGCGAACATTGAGGTATTTCGAGAAAAGAGAGATGTTTAAGATGATGTCCACCTCTCTAGTAATCTCAATATTCTTCACTTGCTCCTTTGTGGCCACTTTCATCCTGTGCAGCTCCTGCTGCAGCTGAACCAAATCTCTTCCAAAGTGAGTCGCCATTCTCTGATACTCCTGCATGCCTTCAGGAGCCCTGCGGACGCAAAAATGAAAAGTTACATTCCAAAATGCACAGGTTTAGTCTTTTTTTTTTGTCATCTGTAAATATGGAAGCGGGCTTCAGGGTTTCTCTTACACTGTCTTTAAATAGCCCTCTGAACTGTAATAGATGCAGGAGCCAATAAAATCTCACCTCTCCCTGAAGGTTGGCACTGTGTAGGTTTGTTCCGCCATAGCCTCAGAGGCCTGGACCTGCTTCTTCTTCACTACCTGAGAGCTTGATTTCCTGCCGTATACATCAGAACAGCGTTTGAGTCATGTTTGCATCGTGTGACAGCAGTTTGTTACATTTCACACTTTGTGCTGTTGTGTGAAAGTCCGAATTTCACCTACTGAAGGATCAATTGCATTGGTTATAGTAGTACATTGTATATTGTGGATTTACTATACAGTGGTTATTATTGCTTAAAATTGGAATGCCAAGTGCATAAACTGATTTAAAACCAAGAAAACAAGACCAGCCTGATCAGGAAACCATATTTGGCTGGCAAAAGCTAACAAAGTACTTTAAAAAGTTTTTTTTTTTCAGTATTACTCATTACTTTTTATAATGTGTATCACATTGTTAATGGTTAATTCTGTTTAAATTGTTTAATTCTACAAAGTTTTGTACCAAATTAACTTGTGTAGAAGTACACTTTCATAATTTTTTTAATGTGTACTTTGTAATAAAGTTTAACTCACAGTTTAAAACATTGTTTTAATATCCTTTTTAAGTATACTTATAGGACTTTATTATTTTAACTGTAGTGTGTTAATTGATATTACATTTAAAGTTATATAAATGTAAATATAAATTTACTAACTTGCAACTTCATCATTATTACAAATGTGTAATTAGAAATATAATTAAATACATGACATACAAGATTCAATAGAAGCAATAATAAAGTATATTTTAGTTTGCCATAAATGCTTGTCGGTACATTCGGCAGTACACTTTAACCACATTTTAAAAACTCAAGTAATTATGAAATTACATGCCTTTATGTCCTATACCTAAGTGCCTTTACACCTAAGTGGGTCAAAAAAATCACTTTTTTAAATATTATTTTCAAACTATAATTTCTTTTCATTTTCATTCTAAGTGTCAGGAAACATAGAATTCAGTTTACACTTACAGTAAGTATATTCTTTTTGTACATTAATAGAAATAAGTACCTATTATGGAAATAAGTATATTATTTATTGTTTTAAAATGTGTACTTAAACCACTTTAGATGGTTAATAAGTTCATAATTAATTAATGAACGAATAAGTTCTTTGTTCATCCTCTTTTTCAAGTCACTTTGAAAAAAAAAAAAACTGCTAAATGAATGAATGCAAAAATGTAAATAAACAGATGCTAACAGGAAACGCTAAACAGCATGTTTCAGTCACCAGCGCCAGTAAAGCTTTAGAAAAACCTATCAAACAACTATGATCGTGTCTTCAATACAAAACAAATTATGATCCCAAAAATTTTTACAAATATAATTAAAATGGTGATTTAAATGACTATTACTCTTCTCTGTTCTGCTAAGTACAACATACTGTCTGGATCCAGATTCTCCTGTCTATTGCAAAATCTCAAACATTGATTTTTGAGGGCCAAGTTGATTAGAGCAACAGAATCAGTTCTCTAACGCAGTGGGTCCCAACCCTGGTCCTGGAGGCACCCCAACACTGCACATTTTGCATGTCTCCTTTCTCTGACACCAATTTCAGGTCTTGAAGTCTCTACTAATGAGCTGATGACCTGAATCAGGTGTGTTTGATTAAGGAGACATGCAAAACGTGCAGTGTTGGGGTGCCTCCAGGACCAGGGTTGGGAACCACTGCTCTAACGTATTAGCAAGGTTTGGTAAAAGCTGATTTATTCATGCTTGTTAACCTAAATCCAACAGCCTCCACACTGAAGCAAATCTGAATTCCCCCAATACTCTTCACCCAAAATGTCAATACAAACCACTTTCTTTCTTGACAGCCAAAAAGCTTGAGCGCCATGCCTTATATCATATTTTCCTACAGTATGCTAAGCAGTATTTTCTCCTTTCTCGCCACTGACATATGACGTAATGTTGAGTCTGTTCACAGCGCACACTAGCTTTGCATATACATCTTTAAACCCGAGTGTCTAATCAGGTCACTTGACCTTCGGGTCTCTTATGAAGCAACAAAGAGAGCGGTATTAGCACAAGCGGATGCTGCTGTGTGTTTAAGGACAGATCTTCTGGCCTGCTGAGCCAAATTCACGCCAAAGCTATCCATATGCTTGGCCAGTCGAATTCAATGCAACCGCATCCCATACCTTGAGTGTTGGACAACATGTTTTGAGCTTTGATGTTGCGTTTGCTCCTGCCGATAAAGTGTAACGCCCTTCGCAGGCATGTCGGGAACACTCTGAAAAAGACCTTTAGACCACATCAAGACTCACTGTGCAGTCTAAATCATCTGTAAAAAATAATTGATACTGGGCAAAATATACAATTAAGAATGTTAAATATGAGTATGGCACATAGTAATATTGGTTGATCATGGTTAGCAATGATACATGTAACACACAAACAAGTATAGAATGATTTGAAAATTCAAATGATTCCGACGTACTAAAAGAAATCACCTTATAAACATACATACACTCCTAGATAAAGACCAAAACTGAATATTGCCCGTCCAAAATAAATCAGTGTAATATCGAATACTGTATATTCCCAGAGCCAGTTTTTACTTGGTTATTGCGACTGGTTATTGTAAACTAGCACCAAAACCGCCTCTCCTCACATTCCAGCCCATCAGCAGCTCCATGAGCTCAAGTGCATCACATTACAGGCAGAAAGTGAAAAGCTGACCTCAGAATAACTGCCACAACATATGGACACAAACATCTCAGAGCTACAAAAATCCAAGCGGGAGCAAAAGCCCTTAGATTTGACCTTTGACCTGCACATAATGCGACAGGCTGCTATGACCATAAGGTCTCGTGTGGAAACAAACAAACCAACAAATGAAAGGATTTGTGCAGTTCAGCGTTAAACGAACTCTGAAAAGTACTTAAAAGTAGACCGCAACCCATTAGAAAACAAGATTTTTGGAACTACATCTAATATCAAGATAAAGAAGGCTCAAAACATTTTGTAATGACCTCAAGTCCAGAATCACTTCAGCTCTAGGTACCAGAGACTTTCAAAATTCAATAATATCAATATTCAATTGAAATCATGCGTGCGAAATACACCAAATATGATCATCTGGTGAGCGTATGTCTCCCAATAGGCATCTGTTAACAGATTAATAAAATAAAGCTGCACTTACCCCAAGAGAAAAGAAGAGCTTTGAGTGTTGGAAGAGCAGCCTGAGAGCAGTTGGAAAGCTCCTGCTGATGGAACAAAAATAATGCAGTCACTTAGGGAATGCCTTCACTCTGCCGCCCCATGTAAGGATACTCTTAAGACTATATATAGCATTTACCTCAATTTTCAAACCATTTTACCGACTGAAAGAGAGCAAAACAACAGATTTAGTTTAAGAAAGGCAAATGTTCATTTATTTCTTTTTAATTGGACTCTTGAGACATACAAATAGGGTAAAACAAGATTTTACCTGGAAGCACAATCTCAGCGGGCTCGGCATTGGGAAGTTGTAGCCTTGTGTGCGTTCTCACTAACTTCTGAAGGATAGAAGCACATTTTCTACAACGACGGCAACTTTGGGCTTAAACTCGGTTCGCTTTTTGCCCTCGGCACAATTTTGAAAGATGCTTCGATTTGTGAATATTTTAAAAAGCCTTGGGTTGATGTCAAGACAAGTACTTTTTCATCTTTTTTGTTTTTTCTACAAGTAGAAGCAATTTCCAAAAAAATGCTGATGTCGGCGTCTTAGGAGCCCTTTTTAGGGTTTTAATCTACTCTCCCTCCCCTTGCCTACAGTTGCCACCATCTATTTTTAACAGGAGATAAAACAGAGAGAGAGAGACTGTAATAGACACCCTGCGGTTACAGTACTGCTGTATAAGTCATTAACTTATCAATACTGTCTGTCAAACCAGGCCTTGTAGATGTAGAACAAGAACGGGAAAATCAGGGGACAAAAATAAGTGTGAAAATAACGTTAATGTTTAAACAAATTTCATAAATTAATAAAACTAATTAAGTGAAATGAATGAATGACATATGATCATTATTATTATTTTAATTACTAGTTGTTAAATATATATAGAAAAGCACAGCAATTTCAGCAGCTGGGCAAACTTTGAATGGCAGAACACCCACTTCTAAAAACTGTACGAAAATCAAATAAAAAAAAGAACATAAATAAAATAAAATATAAAATAAAATAAAACAAACAATAAATTAAAAATAGAATAAAATAAAATAAAAAATAAAATAAAATGTGCATATTATCGGCAACAACACTAGGTAAGTATATATTTCCACTTGGCAAGACTTTAACTTTTAACTTTTGGCAAGACAACTAATTTTATCTTTTATCTACGTTATGCTTTCTTTGCCATACTATTACATACTATTTTGCCATGAATACTGCATGTAGTAATTTAACAATATGACCTTAAAAACATGTCTATTAACAGTCATCATCAACATAAAACAATGACATATCATATCAGAAGACGTAACATTGTTTTATTGAGCATCTGCTGTGGTCAAAACAGAGGAAAGCTGATATGTAATCAAATTCAAGACAAGGATAACAAAAGATTCCGGAAAAAAAAAAAAATCTTTTTTTTTGTTGTTTTTTTTCAAAAGCAGCGTTGTCTTTAGTGAACATTTTTGAGTTTGCAATATATTACCTTACATTCCCAAAGCATCTTTGGTGTAGTTTGAAAAAAATAAAAACAAACAAACAAATAATCAACAGCAACAAGAAAAAATATATAATAAAATATTTACAAAGCATGTACTAAATCCTTAACTAAAATTGTGTAATTTGTACTTGAAGTTAGATTCAAACAGCTCATTAAAGTGCATCAGATCTCAGTAGTTTGAGCGAATGAAGCGTAAGAGTGCATAGATCTCATCTCCGACTGCGCCAACTATCATTTTATCATTAGCATCTTATACAGCACTCAGTGCACTGCATTTACTGTGTTACCATAAGCTGTTATACAGCACTTGGATATTACTGTAATGAATGCAAACAATGTCATAATGCCAGGAGAAGTACATGATACATCAACACTGTGGAAAAACACCATTCTGGCAAGTTTGAAAGGAATGTTCTATTGACCGCTGACTAATAAATCTATGACAATTTCAAAGAGTGGCATTCAAACATCAAATAAGAAAAAAACCTAACCCTAAAACCACAAAAATAAATTATCTGTTAAAATCACATCTTTGAAAAGAAAGGAGGAAAAACATACATTCTTTAAACCTTCCCAGCTCCATGCATGAGTTAATATTCAGTGCTGCTCAAGAGGAGTAAAAAAACCTGATCCGATAACGTAATATCACGAGAAGCCAAAGAAACACAGTTAAATTTGTATAGTATGGTAAGTACCTGCAGTATACACAAGCATTTACAAACAATAAAACCCTTAGAATAATATCACTCCTATTTTATTTTACACAAACGGTCAAGATGTCAGGGGTGAAAAATAATAAATAACCTTAGATTGCACCACTGAAGCAGGTGTTTCTGTTGATGGCATAGAGGAGTGTTTCTAGTAAAAGGCACATCATAGCTACCGTTTCATTTGACGTCATTCAGCTGAGCCGTTATTCGGCATTATTGATCATACTCGCGCTGTCCGTGTCATCAAAGTTGCGCTGGTAACGTACTGTCGAATGGAAGCGATGCTTGTTTTTCTGGTATAAGATGAAGGGGACAGCCGCGAAGATGCAGATGAGTACAATGATGAAGAAGATCAAAGCCACAGGGCTACCTGGATCTGCACATGCAATATTTATGCCATAATGTTACATTTATGCAAGATTTATTTGCAAAATCATAAATTTTCTGTATTTTCAATAATGTTTATTCATCAAATATTTTAATAATAATATTATAATTACTTTATATATACACACACACACACACACTTTATTGTATTTATGTGTTCTATTTATTGCATATTATTGTGTGTATGTATGTATGTATGTATGTATATATATACAGGGCTTGACATTAACACCCACCAAATGCGGGTGGATTTCAGCAGTGGCGGGTAACACGGCCGCTCCCACTAGCCACTTTGGCGGGTTAGAATTTTATAACAGAGCTCGACATTACTGCTTGTCTGGGACAAGTGGATTTTTTGAAGGGGCAAGTGAAAGAGAATTTTACTTGCCTGACTGGGAAACAAACGTGATTAAAACATCTAACAAGGGAAGCACCGAAATTTCGGTGAGATTTATTCTGATTTTATTACATTCGGTGTAAACGGCAATTGATAGTAGATAATCAACAGTAACAACAAGGTCGCGCCAGTTGAGGCTCGCGCAGCCTGTCTGTGTTTAACAATCTCTTGGAGAAATCAAAACAAATGAACGCAACTGCACACAGAGGAAACATACTGCTGTAAAAATGTAACTTAGTTTTTATATTTATATAACATATAGCCTAATTAAGCAACATGACACGACCAAGAGAGTGAAGTTTAACCTGAAAACCGTGATTGCAAATTTGACATTGATTTTATACAAGAGTTAATATACATTTTAGTACAATATTGTCAATGTTGTCTGTTTTTGCTCGATTTAAAATTGAGCAAGAAAATAGTTTAAAACAAAGATCACAGTAAAACAGTCGAGCATCTCTGAGCAACACAGCAGTGTGTTGCTCAGAGTGTGTTGCTATGATTAATTCAAAAACAGATTCACGTTTTTGAATTAATCACATCAATGATTCAGTGAGTCAATGATTCAGTGGTCCATTCATAAAGACACTTTTCTTCAATTCTTGAATGAATCAGCCACCTGAACTAATCGTTTGAATAAATGCCTCAATGACTCACTTGTTAAGACAGTCACTTGCTGCCACCTACTGGCGGTTTATTTTCATATTTAAAAGTAGCTTATCTTTGCATTTTTTCCAAAATTTCATATTTGTATATAAAAAAAAAAAAATCTTATTTAAAACACCAAGCTCATAACATTATTTGTTATATTATAATTTTGCAGTATAAATACATTCATACTACATTAATGCATGTATTTCAACTACATCTGTGTAAATGCATCTAAATACCACTTCACCTGCTTCTGTTTCTTCTGCAGTGCAGAGATCGGTTTTGTTAAAGGGGTCATATGATGTTGCTAAAAAGAACATTATTTGGTGTATTTGGTGTAATGCAATGTGTTTATGCGGTTTAAGGTTCAAAAACCACATTATTTTCCATATAATGTACATAATGTACACTCCTCTATGCCCCGCCTTTCTGAAACGCGTCGATTTTTACAAAGCTCATAGGTCTGAAAAGCGAGGTGTGCTCTGATTGGCCAGCTATCCAATGCGTTGTGATTGGCCGAATACCTCAAGCGTGTGACGGAAATGTTACGCCCCTCACCATACTGTGATGCCGTGCCC